GAAAATCTTGCCTTACGAATCTTTTGACATTCTTTGAAAAGGTTACCGTTTATGTAGATGAGAGTATGTTATATGATTTGGTGTATCTGGATTTTCAGAAAACATTTGACAAGGTGTCACATAAAAGGCTTGTAAAAAAATTATCTCTATAGGTGTGGGGGATAAGTTAGCAAATTAGTTAAAACAGTGGCTGGATGGAAGAAAGCAGAGGGTTGTTACAAATAGAGTTCAGTCAAACTGGATTAATGTCACAAGTAGGCTCAGGGCTCAATCTTAGGACCTTTGCTCCTTTTGATTTACATCAACAACATAGATGAAGGAATAGTCAATAAATTACTTAAATTTGCTGATGATATTAAGGTCTTGGATGTTTCTAGCTATGAAGAGGATGCTGCTGATTTACAAAAGGATTTAGATCATTTAGTGAGTTGGGCAAATAAATGGCAGATGAGTTTTAATTATAATAAATGCAAGATAATGCATGGGGGTTATCATAATTTGAATTATAAGTATAATTTGGATGGGAATAACCTTAATAGTGTTACGAAAGAAAGGGATCTTGGTGTAATAGTTGATCAGTCTCTAAAGCCATCCAAGCAGGACAAATAGGATTTTAGGTTGTATCTACAGAAATATTGAATATAAGTCTAAAGAGGTTATAATTTCGATGTACAGGTCACTGGTTAGGCCACATTTGGAATATTGTGTTCAATCTTTGGGCTCCTTACCTTAGAAAAGACATTGGATTGTTGGAAAGGGTTCAGTGAAGGGTTACTAGAATGGTGCCTGGGATGGAGGGGTTATGCTACGAGGAGAGGCTGAAATCTCTCAAATTGTTTTTTCTTGAAAAAAGAAGAGGTGATTGAGGTGTTTATGATTGTAAAGAGAATTGACAGTGTTGATGCATCATCTTTTTTCATATTTAACAGTAAGAATAGTAGAATTAGGGGACACAAATATAAATCTTGGCAAGGTAGTAGTCATCTTCAGGTAAGACAGTTTCATTTCTCTAACAGGGTAGTTGGCCTTTGGAATGGGTTGCTTTCAGATGTTGTAGAGGCAGTAAATTTAAGTGAGTTTAAGAAAAAGCTTAAGTATATGAATGATAAGGGCTGGCTTTAAGATTTTTTTAAAATTATTTTAATTTATTTTAGGGGATGGAACAGTAAAGATATGTTTTAATATCTGTTTTTCTAACTAACATGCCTCTTCGCTGTGGCTCAGTGAGAAGTCATGGGGCTTATAACACTAAAAATCAGGTTTCAATACCTGGGATGGGCAAAGCTAGCACAAATAGCCCATTGTGTAGCTTTGAGCTTACCAACAAACAAACAAACAACTTTTCTGCATAATCTTTACTGCATCTGTTTTTTAACAAAGTTCTGTATAATTCTTTTGGATTTAGTTTAAAATATTTTGTACATAATATTTCCAAAAATATGTTAAACCTTTATAATTAAAGAACTTTTTTCATAAACGTAGGTTAGATTTCAAGAAATTAATTACATATACTCTATATCCAGATGTATTTAATATAATTATTTTGTTAAAATGAAAGATTTTATTTACAATAAAGAATGCTAACGTAATGGTAACCTTTATCAGATGTACAGTATGTGGTGATCCGCACTGTTTGTGATTACTTTTCTGCAGTATAGTATATTTTTCTTTTTTGGGGGTGTTTGTAAATAAGCATACCATATAATTAGAAGTTTTTTGGAAGAAGTAAAAAGTGAGACCTAGTGGGACTTGAACCTGCAACTCTCCTTGATATACAATGCTTTAACCATTGAAGCTACTATGTTTAAAAATCCTCTGTAGCTTAGGAAGTAAGAACACTGCTGATAAGCAGAACCCCCAGGTTTAAGTCCCATCCAGTCTTTTTTAATCACTTGAGAAATACTTTAAGATTAATAGGTAAGCTTTAAATTTTTTTTTACATTATATTGGAAGCTTTAACATTCATGTGTAGGTTCTATGATAACTTAAATTTTTTGAAAGCTAAACTATTGTCTAGAAATGTCCATTTAATTGATGAAATCATGCTTACGTTCCACTTTATCTATAGGTTTAGTTTTCATTTGACTAAATACACTGAGTTAACTAGTCCAGTGTATGGTAGAGGATACATACACAGACGTCCAAAGGAATGAGCCCTATTTTAATTAATTTTAATTGTCACTATCACTATGAACATATTGGATCTATGAAATTTTGAAAAATCTAAAAAAGTAAACTTTCTTTTTAAATCAATTACAGCTGGCAAGCATTGCTGATCGGACTATCATGGAGGCAGACACAGATGGAGACCAAATGATTTCCTTTGAAGAATTCTGTGCTACTTTGGAAAGAACTGATGTTGAAGAGAAAATGAGCATTCGGTTTTTACATTGAAAACTTTCTGTTTGTCATGAAAAGTCTTTATATTCAATGCAGGCATGAATTGTGCTTGCTATTTAATTTACAAATTTTCTAACCATGTTATTCATAAATATCAACCTTCATGAAAAACTTAAGTAAGTGGTAGCTGGCATTATTCTAAGATGCCTGGTTAAGGATATTGTTTGCTGTTTTAATACAGATTTGTTTAACTCTTTTTTTTTTTTTTTAGTATTTATGAGAATGAGAAATAACTTTGTAATGATTAATATTGATATTACTTCTAATTGTTTGAGAATACCCTTTGTCTTTTTTTTTTTTTCCAAGTGAATGTTAAGTTTGTTGTTTTGTTCATTGTTTACATGAGATAACTTAGTTACTGAGTGCTGTGTTCTTTTTTCTCCTTAACAATTATTACTCAGTTTATAAATCACTAACAAAAAATTTTATTATTACATATCATTTTTGATTTATATGTATATATTTGTTGCATTATAATACATAACTCTCTCCTTGACTTATGGAAGTGAATAAAAACCCTATAACCCAAGCACTTTCGAAAGGTGGACCTTTCTTCTTCAGGGGCAAACTGGGAATGTATGATATTAACAAGTGCAAGCTTTGCCCATGTATATTTCAAAACTACCAGGTTTTAAATTTTAGCAGTGCAGAAACAAAACCACTTCAAGTATTTCACACAGTGACTTCAAACTTTGAGAGATATTTTAGTTTGATTCAATGGGCCTCTTAATATTTTATTGTAAACTAATATGGTCATTACTAAATTGTTAAGGTTTTTAGGCACTGATCTCATACAAGAGGAGAAATTTCACTAACCCTGTGTCTGTGTATGAAGGATAAAACTTAGGTTTTGTACTTTTCAGTTTAATGTACAATTTTTGGTTGTGCTTACTTTTATTTACTGATAAAACTGATTAATTTTTGAGTAATTGACCTGAGGTTGCTTTTGTAGTGATACTCTATTTCCTGTTCATAGTAGAATTTCACAATTTTTTCAAGGTTTCACAATTCAATATCAATCCTTGTCATACTTACTTAGTTCAATTTTATTCTGTCTTGTTTTGTAATTTTCTGACTTAAGGTCTGTTTTATACTGATACTCCTTCATTTATAATACATCATGTGATTTATAAAAAACTTTCCAAATTCCAAACTCTTCACTTTCTTCATTATCCTTTTACAGTCAAAGCCTTCTTGGTCATGTTTTGTTGTATTGTATAATAGGTAAAACTTTTCATCACAAGTAAATGCTTCTCTGTCATCTGCAAGAACATGTAGGTAGACATTAAACATTGTATAGACCTTAACTGAACCAGCCAAACTACCAGGCAAACAAGTTCTATACTAACTCATACATGGAGGTAAACATTAAACACTACAAAGATCTTGGCTGAACCAGTCAAACTACAAAGCAAATATGCATTATTAGTACTAATCAGTACATGTAGGTAAACATATAACATTGTACGACCTCAGCTGAACTAGTCGAATTAATAGTCTGGACGGCAGTGGCGTAGCAAGAGTTCTCAGAACCCGGGGGCAAAGACACTTTTGGCACCCCCACCTCTGAAATTTTTTGTGACTCATTACCCACTTAATGACAATAACATAAAGAATTAATTACCACCTTACACAGGCCTAAAATAAAGTCACAATTTAACATCTCACAATATTGCAACTGTAAACTTGGAACTAATGAAGTATAGCCTTCTAGGTGTACTTACTTAATTTGTAAAACATTTTGATATTTTTGTCATCCAGTATTGTTCAAAATCACATAGCTAGGGTAATCTTTCAAGCATGCAGAATAAATTTCTGTTATATATCCCTAGTTTTGAAACTTGTGTTTTGTGTGAGAAGCCAGTCACTTGTGGTGTACATGGATTATAAAACAGATTGATAAAATACTACTTAAATTTACAAATTTTATTATTTTACTAAACTGTACATATACTTAACTAGATCTTGTACAGGTAGCGTTCTGGTGTTCATGGTTACATTATATGAACCTTTCGTGCTTTTGATGCTTCAAGTGCATCAATTAAACGATCAAGCTTTAAGGTATTAAGTATGTCTTTTTCAATACTTAGTATTGCCAAGCTACTAAGTCGGTCTTGAGTCATTGAGGATCTCGAGTATGTCAGAATTAATTTCAGCATGCTGAAGGATCTTTCACAACTAGCAATAGAAACCCCAATTGTTAATAAAATCTGCAATGCAATTCTTAAATTTAGGAAAACATCTTCACCATATGAAATTATACATGTTACCAAATCAGT